AGCGCCGTAAGTCAGGGTGGTGGAAAGCTTCCAGGTCTTGACCACCTTCGCCTTCCCTTGGGAACCTGCGGGCGGCTGCGCCAAGAGGTGCTGGGGGCACGGAGGTGAGGCAGGGGTGCGGCCTGGTCTGCACCTGCCCATTTTGGGCCAGGTTGGCCCGTTTTGGCAGCCTTTCCTGGTCAGTCAGGGTCAGGCTTCCTAGTGCAGAACAGAGGATTTCCAGAAGTCAGTAACAAGCCATCATTTGGGGCATCTAATACAAAATCTATTGCCTTCCTAAGGTCTTTGAGAGGTCGCTGTGAATGACAGGTTCCGGTTTTTCGGGGGTGGAGCTCCAGGTGGCTGGATGACTGTGTAGCACAGGGCATGGCAGGCGGGTGTGTCCGTCTGTGCATCTTGGTGTTGGGTGCTGATGTCCCACAACCTTGGGGGTCCACAGGACAGCCAAGGAGATGACTTCCTGGATTGCGCGCATTAACCTGGCGGCAGCCACGCACTCCGCGCCGCCCTTCCCCGCCGCCGTGGGTTCCCAGCGCAGATTCGTGCGGCCCATCCTCCCCATTGGCCCGGCACAGAACTCCCTGGTAAGATCCGGGGATGGCTGGGGCCGCTGTGTGCAGGGGGCCTGGGAAAGCATTAGAGAGAGGGCTGCACACCTCAGCATGGAGGTGCGGGCCAGCGCAGCAGGAGCTCCAGGACAGACAGCTCCCTCGCCGCCTCTGCCTGCAGGAGGAGCAGCATCGGTCCCACGAGAACTGTCTGGATGCAGCCTCGGACGACCTGCTGGATCTGCAGAGGAACTTACCCGAGCGACGCGGGCGCAGCCGCGAACTGGAGGAGTACCGCCTGCGAAAGGAGTATCTGGAGTACGAGGTGAGGACCCTCGGCTGCCCCCTTGTGGCTGCCTCTGTCCCTGCAGCCGTCGCTCCCCATCGTGCCAGGAAGAGGCGATTCCTTGCCCACGTGCCCGCTGAACACATGAATTGTACACTTTCAGGCATGCTTTTCCCAAGTTGAAGGATAATGTGTATTATAGCTGAATTACTTCCCCAATACCGGCTCAGTAATGCTAATAATGTGTATGGAGCTGGCATTACTTGCCTCAATCATCTATTTTGAGGATCTAACAACTCTGGAGTAGGTATTATTATCTTCATTTTGTGTATGAGGAAAATAGCCTGATATGGCAGTGCACGCCGTAATTCTAGCACTCGGGAGGCTGAGGCAGGACGATTGCCGTGAGTGCGAGGCCAGCCTGGGTTACATAAGCAAGATCAAGGCCAGCATCAACCGTATGCTTTTTTTTTTTTCTAAAAAAAACAAAACAACTATACATGAGGAAAATGAGGCACAAAGAGATCAAACAACTTTATTTAACTAGCTAGATTTACAATCTACCCCAATCAGATTGTGTGTCTGATGTATGGTCTTAACTAAGGCTTGCGTGACTTGTATCAGGTCTATAATTGATTGCAGAATGAACTTTTGCCTAGTTAGACTCCAGGCCTCAGTTCTGCTCCCTTGTGCCCAGCGCTTGCTTCAGGAGTCCTGACTGTGCCACTGTGGGTGGAGCTCGGTGGGCAGGACAGTAGGCTGGGTAAGGTGCCTTGTGAGATTAGAGGGTAGCACCTGGGACTCGTGTGGCCCACCCCCTGCCCACCTGCTTTCAAGCTTCTTGCCCAACCTTTTAGGTTATTATTACCCCATGCTGTGAATGTCCCCCTTTGATGGAGGCCTCAGTGGTGTGGCCTAAAGAACCCAACTTCTCCCCATCACTGCCCAGCTGGGGCCCTTGGGCATTGGTCCTCCTTGGTCCCATTTCCTCCTTTGTAAATCAGAGAGGATGGTTTGTGCCCAGTCAGGACTGAGTGAGGATCCAGTGGAGGTTGAGGAAACACTTTGCAAATCCAAGGACTCCCAGCATTAAACAGATGAGGGTAGCAGGCATCCGGCTCTGCAGGTGCCAAGTGCCAGCATACTCTTCAGACTCCGTTAGGGTTCTGTTAGATGTGAGCTGCTCCACTGTCATGCTGTGCAGATCCCAGGCAGAGTGGCTTGTGCCTCGTGTGGTGCATCGGAGGTGCATCATGGTGAGGAGGTGTTGCTCAGGCACTGCAGCACGCCAGTTATTAGAATAGGCCTGGGCTGGCCTGTGTGATTATGATGTGATCCAGAGGCGCGCCCTGCAGGGCCTGATTGCTCAACACTGCGCAGAGCCTGGTGGCAGAGCCTTCTGTCCGCAGAGCTCTCTGTCTCCATAGCTGCACACCCCTGCAGCTGCCCTCATGATTCCAGCCTCCTCCTGACCCGTGTGTTGCAGAAAGCCCGCTACGAGACCTATGTGCAGCTGCTGGTGGCGCGCCTGCACTGTGCCTCTGAGGACCTGGATGTATGGGAAGAGTGGCTGGGGAGGGAAGCTGAAGACACCTGGGAACCCAAACCCAGCCTGAAGAAGTCCCACTCGAGCCCCTCCCTGCACCAGGATGAGGCCCCCACCACCGCCAAGGTGAAGCGCAATATCTCCGAGCGCCGAACCTACCGGAAGATCATCCCCAAGCGGAATCGCAATCAGCTGTGAAGCCGGCACCAACCCACAGATGCCGGCCCTTCTCCGGAGGAGACTGAGTCACTGCCCTGCAGAGGTGCCACATTCACTGGGTCCACCACGAGGCCTGGGCGCCTCCCTTCTCTGCTGAGGGGCAGCACTTGTTTCCCCGTGGCCCCATTCATTGCCCAGCTCCCTGGAGCTTCCCTCTTGCCACTGCCTGCCCACCACTGCTGTGGCAGTTGCTGCTGAGCCCGTCCCTGGCCACCCTGAAGGAAGAATGAGGTAGAACGAGGACTAGACTCCGCTCCTAACATTCAGCCCATGTCACCCCCATTCCTCAGAACCGGGGTGACTTCATTTCTGGTGCTTACTTGAACCTGAAGGAGGGCCAGCCAGGAGAGCCCCTGCCCTGAGGAAAATTAGGTAACCTGCCAGGAAGGCCCAGAGAACAGGGAAAACAGTGCAGAGACTGTTGAGAGAAGCCAACAGTGACCCAGGGAGCGGTGCCTTCCAGGCCCTGCCCACTAGGGGGCAGCCTTCTGGCAGGGACCTCAGCAAGCTTCTCTGCACCTTTGTCTTCCCTGGTTCCATGATTCTGCCAGATGAGAGAACCTGGTGTTCAGTTGCTGAGGATGGAGTGCAGCCAGGGCCTCTGGAGGTCGGTGCTGAACCGGGAGAGCCCAGAAAAGGGCCCCTTTGTTTCCCAGACGGAGAAGGTAGTTCTCCAGGTGTAGCCAGCTGGCAAGGGCAGAGAGTAAAAGGTGGGGACAGATGCCTGAGGGTGTCTGCCCAGCCAGTGCTCTAGCTCAGAAGTGTGGGATAGGATGGCCAACGGGGACCAGAGCCTCGGCCGGGCATGGGAAACCCTTCATGTCCTTACAGCTGTGCTGCTGAGGGCACCAGGACACCTTCCTCCCCGAGTCACTTCCCTGAGGCTCTGCTGTCCTCCCCAGGGAGTCCCCTCATCTTGTCCTCTGGCTGCCTCCCAGCTGGACCTGTTCTCCAGGGGAGGTTCTGAGACCAGGGACTTGGGGTGCTGCCTGTGGGAAGGAGGCTGGGCTGGAGGGAGCCACCGCCATTGTTTCTGCTCAGCCAAGTGTACCGCTAGGCCGCCTGCCAAGTGGGCCCCTCTTCTGCCTGCCCGCTGCCCCATGGCTGCCACGTGGCCTCTCCTGCTGTCCTGTGGGCCACCCTCCTCCCTCCCTCTGGACAATGCTTGTCACGGCGCAGGGCTGGCCTTGGGAGCCTCATGGCTGCCTCTGGCCAGGACTTGGACTGGGCCATGCACCCAATGGGTGTGCAATAAATACAGATGAACAGAATAGAAAGTGTGCACAAGTGCGTGGTGTGGGGGTGGGACGTAAGGCAGCTGGGCACACCTGTGTGGTGTGCACATTTATGCGCACGCATGCGTGCATGTGTAGAGTGCGTCACGTGTTCACCTGTAGTCACAGTTACAGGCTGTGGAACGTCCCTGTCATTTCCTTATATACTCGTCCATTGCACAGATAGCCTCGAACACTTGAACACCAGTACCAGGCGTTCTGGAGGTGAATTTAACACACCCCTGACTCTAGGAGTTGATAATCCACTTGCTGCTGTGCCCCAGCTCGCAGGACAGAGGTGCAGTTTGTCTTGCTGGGAAGACAATTCTGTTTCCCACGCAGGGATTCGGCCTCGGGAGGCCTGTTGGGCCAAAGGTTGTGTGTGTTTCAAGCCCCTTGAATAACTGAGGTGTAATAGCAGTGAACAGCCTCACGAGAGTCCAGTAATCTCATTTGAGGTGTAAAGTCAGCCTCGTGCCTTGGCCCAGGTTCGATGCTCACAGGCTAAATGGCCTTGAATGGGTTCTTCGACCTTCTGGACAGTGTGTCCTGATTTATAACACCGGAATAAAAGGTACAGTCTGTCCAAATGTGTGTGACGCCTCGATGCTCCTTCGCACAGGCGGAGTTGGCATCTTCATTTCAGTGGGGCGTACGAAACCTTCACAGCCAGGCGGTCCTTGCTGCCTGGCTTCACCCTGTCAGGGCTGCCAGGCACGTAGGCTAAGGGAGAACTGGGGAAGCGGGAGAGGCTCGCGGGCTTGCACTTACACGCTGTGACCACTGGAGGGCGGGCTTGCATCTCCCTAGCTCCTGACTGCGCCGGTGTGTGGTTCCATAGCTGAGCTCTCTGGGGGACTCGGGTCTGCATCTTCAGGCTAGCACCTTAACCTACCGGAATCTACCACTTGCCCAAAGTTGTCGTGGCCCCAGCTAGGGCTCCTACCACCGGCGGAAAGGCTTTCCCACTTAAAGGAATGGAGCGCTGATGTTTCCAGTGGAGGACCTCCACCAGAGACAAAGAAGTTTCTGCAGCCTGTGGGGATAGCTAGGGGCTGCCCCCTTCCCACTCCACCCGTGTGCCCCTGGAAAGCAGGGCCCTGATCCTGGGTATGGAACAGATGCGTGACCTTGTCTCCTCACATATCCCCTTTCTACCTGTGCGGAGGGTGGGTCCATCCCTTTGCAGAAGGGGGCATAAAAGCAGAGCTTCATGGTGATGAGCCCAGGCTCCAAAAGCAGGGTTCAGGTTTGGCTCCAGTTCCTCCTCTCCTATATGAAGGAGCATGGCCTCTTCCTAGCCTCCCCTGTCTCTGTTAACTGTTTCTCGGGCTCTGACAACTATTTGTTGTTTCCCAGGCATGAAAGATAGAAAGTTGGCCACACCCGCGTTGAGGCCTGGTCCCCCTCCTTGGGGTACTCAAGCTTTTGCCACTGGAAATGGGGACTGTGTATGGGCTTATGGGAGCTGGGTGGTGGGTCAGGGAGATGGGGCAGAGGGAGACAGGGCCATAAGGATGCAGAGGCCAAATCAGAAGATTCAACATGCTTCTGGTAGGACTTGTCTACAAATCTAAAGGATTCCAGAATCTTTAAATAAATTGAATGGGAAACTATAAAAACAATGGCTTAGAGTCTTGGGACAACATGACCACACCTGACCCTTCCTCCTGCCTGGCCCTGCTGCCCCACCTCACCCCACCCCATGTACATGCTCACTGCTGTGGTATTTAAGGGTTTCTTGAATGGCCATTGTTCCCAGTGCCACCTGCCCAACACTAACAGGTTCACACCTTTACCTGTCCCTTCCACTTCCATTCTCAGGGAGCAGCTATCCCCTCTACTTGTGACTGCTCCTCCTCCCTGTCCGCTCTCCTGCCTGCTGCAGACATCTCTGTCCCAGGGCTCACTTGTGGGTCTTTGGGCCTATGCTCTTTGCTCTCCATTAGTTTGCCTTGCAAATACCTGCACATATCATCAATGTGGGGAAAAGTGAAAACACCAGGCTGTGCTGGGCTGTGTTGGTGCCTGTGGCTGACACCTGCTGTCGTCATTCCTGAGGTGAATGCCCAGGATGGTGGGTCCTCACCAGCTGTCTCCCACCAGCCCCTGCTTCTCATGCCTACCTGGCCCCTGGTTACACCCTACAACTTAGCTTCTACCCCACCCTTCTCTGAAACATACCCCAAGGGCCTCTGAAGACCTTTGATCACCCAGCCCAAAATGTTTCCAGCCTTCATTCGCCCTCATCTCTGGCATCCCAGGCCTTGCTGGCCACTTGATTTCTCCAATTCTCTACCACTGCCCAGTGTGGCCTTAGTGAGTGACCAGGTGCTGGCGTCCACTTGCCCAGTGGAGTCCCAGCCGTGTGTTTTCCAGCCTGCCCCTTGTGTTTTGCTTACTTCCCTCTAAAACGGCCGGCCGTAGTAACACCACTGACCTCGCAGGAGCCCCAGGAAGACCGAGTGAAATTATGCACGTAAACATCTCAGAACAATGCCTGGCACAGGAGGAGGGCCTGGCAGGTTAGCGATTAGTACACAGCCTCTCTGTGCCCACCCCAGGCACCACGCCTTCCTCTCAGGGCTCTGGCTCAGGTCCTACCCTCAAACCTGTCATCCTGTTTTGAAGCCAGACATCTACTTTGATGTCCCTCAGTCTGGAGGTTGTAAATATACGGAATCTGAGCTCAGATGGGTTTTTGCAGATGAGGACAGTGGCTCCAATGACTTCTTAACTTGGGACTCATCCAACACCCTATTTCTCTCTTCTTCTGGGGCTCCAGCTCCAGGCCTAGGAGGCAGGCACAACTCTCATGGCATAAAAAGGGCCTAGTAGCTCCCAAGCTGCCTTCTCTTGGTGCCAATATAGTGGACAGAGACTGCCTGCTTCCTACGAGTTTCACCTTCTATCAAGGATCAGCGCTTCCTTGAGCTGTCTGCCTAGGTCTCAGCCAGGCGCTTAAGTCAAGGCCAGGGACTCAAGATAATCAAAGGCCACACTGGGAGATGGTAGGAGTGCTGCTAGTACCACCCAAAGGACAGCGATTGGCATGTGCTGTTGAAAATTCTGAGTATTATGCAGATAGGCTAGGAGGAAGGGATGTTAGGGAGAAACCCAACTAAAATCCTGCCGCCACATCTTCCACAGAGCTGTCCTTGAGTCTCCTCCGCCAGTCACTCTCCATGACCTCAAACTCCTCTTTCCTCCACTTCCACTCCCTTTCCTCCTTTTCTCCTCTCCTGTCCTCTTTCTTATCTCTCCCAGAAGGTGTTGGCTTCTTTCCATCGCATTTCCAGGGCCTCCTTTCCTGGCCTGGTATCCGGAGTCTGAAGCGTGCCCATCTCAGAACTTTATCCTCAAGTCCACAGAAGGCTGAGGTAGAAAGACTGAAAGTTCTGGCCCATCCTGGGTAACTTTGTGACTTAGGAAAAGCATTTCTCAAAGTTAAAAATCTAAAGGGCTGAGAATGTAACTCAGTGTAAAGGCCCTGGGTCCAACCCCTAGCACTGCGAAATAAACATATGCTCCCTAGGCTTCTGGCTCTCCCCTCTCTAGTGCTTGTACTTTCTTACATATTTTTCTGTGCTCCATGCTTTTCTTCCTGCTCCTCCCATTCCCTGCACGCTGTCTTCCCACAAGGTGTGGTCTCAGAGGTCTTGCTTGGCTGACCACAGGGCTTTCAGGACAGCTTCTAGGGGAGTTTCTGAATTGGAACCTCAACCTTGATCCCTGTGGCTTGTAGCTGTGTTAGACATGGCTCCTAAGTTAATCTTTCTGGAAAGTGTGAAGTACTGTATAATTGTTATCTATTTATTACCTGTCAGACTGAACTTACCTGTTGCCCTTCCCTGACCCCCCTGCTGTATAAATGATACTGTGATAGTTCGTTCACTGCTTTGATTAGCCAGGCACTAGGACACACAAGCACACTTGACCCAAATAGGTTTTTGATATCAATGTAGAGACTTCTGGCTGTTTGATCTTTTTATTCCTGTCTATAGATGACCATAGGGTTGGTAGGAAGTCTACGGACAGAAATGGCTCCTTTGTCCAGGGTCTGCAGGGAAGTCTAGCTCATATCTCCTGGCCGTCTTCCCCTCTTCATTTGCATTTACTGCCCTGACACTGGTTTGGACCCAGTTTTGCACCTTGGCTTTAGCTACTAGTATTTCTTTGAGACTCTGGTCAAGGCTATGGCCATGTGCTCAATACGTGGTTCAGAACCTACTGGAGAAAAGTCCAAGTGATGAAGGGATGGTGGAAACGTCCAGAATGTGGCTTTGCTCAAGATGGTCTGGATTCTAGTAGCGTCACTTGGCAGGGATCGCCTTGGCTGTCGCTGCTGGACACCACACAGGAAGCTAGGCCTGAATAGACACCGTGTCTTTGGAAGGATTGTCCGTGCTGGGTCTCCTCCACTGGGGTCAAGGTGAATCATTCCCTCTAGAGCCAAGTGTTGTTAGCAAAGGAGCTGCTTCTTTTGAGAACCAGAACATTTTTTTCTCACGAGTGAGAGCCAAGGACGTGACTAGGGTGGCCTTTCACTCAGCCCCTGAGAGACGCAGCAAGGCCACTTTCCAGGTCAGCTCTGCCCTGTCAGGACCGCTGAGCCACCCAAGGTGTCTTTTCTGTGGCCCTGATGCTTCCTTTTCCACTTGTCTCTTGCTAATGCCTTGCATGAATTTCTTATGATCTGTCTCAAATCCTCCCTGGGACAAGGAGAGGAATACATTAATATTTAAAATAAAATAAACAAAATGTCAGTGTGTGTGTGTCTTTGGTTGGAAATTCCTTAAGGGCAGGGACCATGTCTGTTTATGTAGCACCTGGCACAGTGTCAAATTGAGGCTTAACAAATGAATTTTGATGAAGAGAGGAAAGGAGCTGAGGTGCCTTCCTGCTGATGTGGCTCAAGGTCCCGCTGGCCCGGGGTCCCCTTGGCGCATGGGGACACCAGTTCCCACCGACCTGGGCTTGGGGTGCTGTCCACCTCTATATACCCACCACAGTCCGTACTGTCCTCACCATGCTAACTCATGCACAAACGCTGTCCCTACTCTCTGGGACACAGCCCTACCCTCACCTGGCTCAGCTGTTCACCCCGACCCTGGCTGCCCTCTTACCCACTGCCCTGACCCTACGCACTTGCCCGGGCCAGGTAGCCATCCTGGTGCTAGGAAACGCCAGGGGCAAAGCGTTTGAGGCACCGTCCCCACTCGTGCTTTGGCCCTCTGGGGGCCTCCAGCCAGGCGGGGACCTGGCAGAGGGAGGGAGAGGATAAGCTACTTCAAAACTCCAGATGCAGCAGTTAAAAAGAGGACAGAGGCAATGATCCTTCAAATTGCCACATCTGTATAATCTGCCTTTTATTTTCTGCTTCATGAAGTTTTATTTCCTATTATTTATTCACCTCCCCGCCCTCCCCTCCCCCGCCTCCTCTCCTCCTTAGCAGGCGACATGCTCAGATGGGCCCCAAGCCTTGGCCTGGGTCTGGGTACCCCCCAACACCCCCTTAGCAGGCTGGCTGCTGGCGAAGGCACCTGCTCCCCCTCCTCTGGCTCTGGCTCTCTCCTGCTCCCCCTTGGGGCATTTGGGGGCTACAGCTCTCTGTCTTTGTGTTCCACCCCTAAATCTCCTCCCTCTATCCTCTGAGCAGCACTCTGAGAAGCAGGTGGGGGAGGGGCAGTGGAGGTGAGGCCATCCCCAAGGCCTGCGCTACTGTTGCCATCCCTGACTTCTGGACCTCCAGGCCTCCCACACCCGCTCTTCTTCCCTGTGCTTGCCATCCCTACTGTCTGCCGAGGACCTTGTCTTTCTGCTCCTTTTGCTTCCATAGGCCTGTGGTCAGGGTGAGCTGGTCCCACCCTGAGTGTGAGGGTATGAGGATGGGAAGGGGAGACTCCCCCAGATCTGCTCTCTGCACGCTGATATGGAGCCCGCACCTCCCCCTTTCCAACCCAGGTGTGGAACAGGGAAGCAGTCCCGGGGGGTGCAGCCCTCAGGAGCCGAGGCTCTCGTCTAAAAAGTGGAACTGGGGCCAGGCCAGGAGGAAGATGGTGGCTGGAAGAGGGCAGGAGGGAGTTTTGGAAAATACACTAATGTGTTGAGTCCCTGCTGCCTCCTT